GCAGTAATCCACTACAATCCAGGTTTACACGGGTGTGGCACAGAAATGGATCAAATCCATATTCTTATTATAGGCAGGGCAGGTAGCAGAATATCTTATTGACTGCCTGACGCACCCTTTTATAGTACTCTGACTTCAGTGGCTTGTAACTTTGCTAAACTTTAACCATGTGGATTGAACTGTTCCATGTTGGTTGTTTGCCACAGGATGAATTTGTTTTGTGGGGAAACTTCAGTCAAAACAATTCAGTTTTTTCCTCTAGGAACAAAGCCATGGGAAAAAATATTGTTTTGTTGGTGTTAAAAATCTCAAACCACTTGTTCTTTGAGGAGTGCTCACCTCCTCCAGTCTTTGGAGCAGGGCAGTGACCTTTGTGTCAGGGATCTACTAAGCGCCAAAGGGCCTGTCCTGCAAAAAATCGCTTGGCATTCCCAACTCACCCTGAAATCACTGGGTATTAGTAGGGTTACTGTGGTGTTGTAGCTGTGATAGCTCAGCTTCACTGGGTATCAACAGTGCTCACACCTCAAAGTATCATGCCCTGTTATTTTTATCTCAATTTTGGACGTTGTCATTCAATGGCATTTCAAGTACTGTGCTGATGGTACTGCACAAAATAACAATGATACATATAGAGATATATATTCCCCACTTTCATCAAGCTGCGGAGGCAAATAACTCTCTTATCCAGATCCTGAGACTGCATACAGGCTTCAATCCTCTGATAAAAGGATAGATTCTTGTGAACTGAAGCATTAAGGTCTCAGAAAGCTGAAGGCTTTATGTACCAAGCTGTTATCCTTAGTCTTTAATTGCTCCGCACTTAATCAACAAGTAAACACTGGCTTCCTATGGACATGGTTTCACTGACGTGGGTAGAACCAAAGTCAACAAACATTTTAATTACCCTAGGTACCATTTCCTTAGGTATCACATTGCACTAGCAGAACTTCAGAAAGAACCGCGGTTAGCTCCAAGGAGACTGAAGCCACTGCTTCAAAGAAGGTCAAAAGTCAACGGAAATGCCAACAGTCACAGCCCAGCACTGTTATCAACTTAATATAAGACTTCTTCTTGCCTACCCTTGATTTCTTGTTTTATTGTATAATAGGAGCCTAACCTAGATAGATATAGACATAGGAGCAGCTGGACTGCATTTGCTAAGGGAGAGGACTCGCATGGCAATGAAAGAAGGAACTAGGCCTCAGGTTAATTAGCCACTGAAATCATGCCTGAAATCAGGCATGCCATAAAAATGAGCCTTAACTCTTGCATTCGATTTCTGTGCCTAAGGCAGGCAAGGTTCTTTGAGTAGATGTGATTTCTTTTATTAGACCAACTGAGTAGCTGGAAAAAAGTTCTTTGCAAGTTTTTGCCCGAAAGTTTGCTATGACCTTTTCCCCAACTACTCAGTTGGTCTAATAAAAGATATCACATCTACTCAAAGAACCTTGCCTACAACCAAAACTCCAGCACGTCTACACCTAAGACACTTTTGAAAATATTTTGGAAAGGGGAAAAATAACTGATGAAGTTTATAAATGAATAAATAAAGTAAATAGCTAGATCTCCAGGGGACAATCACAGTGTTTAAGAGGTGATCACACACAGGCCCAGCAGTTGTACCCAAAGTCTGGATAACTGTATACTCAAGTAGTCAATCTTTGCATTGAGTTGCATCCTGTCAAGAGCAGGCTGACTTCTGAGGTCTCCAACCATGAAAAAATACTACAAATCAGCAGGTTGCTATTGGCCCTCTTAGCATGTAGAAGAGGCTCAGGCCATAAGAAGAGCTGAAAAAATATCATGTGACCTCAGCTGTGTGAGGAAATCCAATTATGTCAGACCTCATCATTAAAAAGGATGCACTTCTGCCTGTGAGCTAGTAAGCCTCGGGGCAGGGTTGAGCTGCAGTGTTCTCACTGAAAGCAATGCCAAAGTATTTCTTGAGTTTTGTGATGGAGGTCAGGTGCTGATGCAGGTACGTGTGTTAATCACAGAGCCTGGCTAGGGTATACAAAATTACAAGATGGCCTGTCGGACTATATATAGGAAGGATGGCTTAGCTCTAACTTTAGTAGTTCAGCTGACAATTTTCGATCTTAGAAGTGGCCGATTGGATTTTGATCCCTGCCACTCCTTCCGATTATAAACCGTATCACGTTGACTGCTCTTTCACATGCTTGAAGAATGAATATTTGCTATTGTTTTTGCACTTGCATCTATGTGCCTACTGTAATCTGACCCAATGTTTGGGTTCTTGCTGGCTAGCTATTGGGCTCAGATTGTCCAGTTTCTGGGAAAAATCAAGGATGGAATACATTAATGGATGCTGGTGAGTGGCTCAAACCTATTTTCCCCAAGATGCACCACAACCACAATATAGGCAGCCCCTAAATGTACGCTGTGGTTTTAAATGACTAAAGATAACCAGATGATATCTCTGCTGTCATAGATCAAGGTATAAGGTTGATTTTGTACCTAAGGTATTGAGCTGGGACTCAGGATATCTGGATTCATGGCTCTGCTATGGGTGTCAATGTGACCTTGAACAGCTCACTTTAGTTTCCACACTTCTGGGTAAGGGTCTGTCTCTTACTAAGTGTCTGCCATAGTACAGTGGTCCTGCTCTTGATTGCGGCCTGTGGGGGGCTAGTGTAATAGTGTAATTAGGGGGAATGCAGACCCGTCTTCACAGCTGATTCCATCCTCGGTGTCCTAGCGGGTAGCTACTCTCTTTTGCTGCTGGGAACATACATAAATAGCAAGGCCATGACTGAACCTCAGAAGAGAACAGAGAGAGTGCTTTATTGATTTTGAAAAAACCCCCAAATCATTAAAGATTTGGAAAAGGCATGTTTGTGCTAGGGAAATCATGCTAGCGCTGATCACTGAAGGACTTGGCAGAAGTGCTGTTCTCATACAATATGGTAATACATGTATTTCCTGCATGATTTATGCATAACATTTGCACATAACTATAGTAACTTCTTCCAGTATCAAGGGACATCAAGAATACTTTAAACTAAGTAATAAGACATAGTTTTGAATAACTCAATTGAAAGTGGTTTGAAAATTACACTGTGAAACATGACCATGTTTTTTAAAGAAAATCACTTACTTTGAAAAGCAGTGGCAATGGACTATAGAAACTGTAGATAACTTCAGTGTTTTGAAACAGTTAATGTCCAGATATGGTAGTAATTGTGCATGGGTGCAGAATTCATCGTATGCATCAATAATAGCTCCTCCCAAATATTGCATCTGTCATACTTCAAGGAGTGCATAATAAGACACAGTGTGGTTTCCAACAGCCTAAGCCACAGCAAACTGACAGCTGCCTGGCTGATCTGAAATGCCAGCAAACAACATCTCTGGTGTCTGCCAATATATTATCCAAATGTGGCTATCAAGTGACAGACCTGGACCTTTCCATGATCATGAGGAAAATGCTGGCTACCAGTGACTATAGGTACAGGCCCATAGCCAATCCAGGAGTTTGAGCAGTGACACACATCACCATTCAGCACAGTATTCACTTCCTGTAGAGCAGGGGTGTCAAACTCATCTGGTCCCACAGGCTGGATGAGTGGTCCAGGACTGGTCCTTGAGCTGGATGAACAGTACAGCACCAGCTCCATGGGCTGGATAAGGCCCATGGACTACCCTCCCTCCGCCCCCTACATGCTGGATCCAATGTTTGCTCTGGCATGTCTGGAGCTGTGCTGCATACATCGTCCACTCTGGCTGGTTTGGGACATGTGCTGTACAGGGTGCCCACTTTGCCGGGTTTGAGACCTGTGCTGCACTGGATGTCTGCCCTGGACTATCTGGAGTTAGCGCTGGCCCTGGGCCAACTAGAGTTAGCACTGTGTGAGGCACAATCCTGGACTGGCTAGACCAGGCACCATGGGTGCTGGATCTGGCATGCGTGTGGAGGGGTCCTGGACTGACCCTGCATGGGTCTTGGAGTGGGAGCCGTTTGCAATGCATGTCCCAGGTTTTGCACATGGGGCCAGTCTGATGTGTGCTGCATGTGGCGTGTGGCCCAGGGCCAGCACCGAGGGATGGATGATGGGGCTTCCTGGGCCAGCCTGAGAGCTGACATCCCTTTTGTAGAGTATATTCCACTACTTACCCTGCAGGCCATACTGCATTTCCTTGTATTGCTACTCCAGCTGTCTGCCAGCGGTCCTCAACAGTTTTTTTTATCTTGTATTTAGGTTGTAGTTTCACTGGGAAAAATGCTGATATTTTTTTGGCTCTCTGTTCAGCACCAGGCACTTGGGGTCTAGTCCATGCCTGGGACTTGTAGACGTACTAAAATACAAACAAATGACAATAACAGTAACATTCCTCAATGTAAAGGACTGTGATTAAGCTGGAGATGGTATTTGGATGGTCATAATCTCAACTAGGTCTCTTATGCATGTCCAACAATGAGTTATATGAAAGAAATGTGGGACTTAAAGCAGCTCTTTGCAAGGAAGGCTGGGTAGGCTGGGTTGTGATCTCGCTTATGCTGGTGTCAGCCAAAAAGGTACAATTGCATCAGTTCAAAACTGGTACAGAATCAAGCTCAAAATATGGTGCATGTCAGTTAGGACATCACTAGGGTCAGTACTGTGGGACAGAGCCTCACTCCAGATAAGGCTGCTTTACACCGGTCTGTGGGGACAAAGGTGGCTTGTGGGGACCAGCTGGGAATCCCACAAGGATTGAAGAACTTAAGCTGATCCCTCCTTCCTGCCCCTCCACTGGAGGGCATATGTGGTGGGCACCTGGGGCCCTGCAAGCATGGGATGCTGTTCTGGTGTCAAGATAAGCTGTAAATCAGAGCGTCTTCCCCAGCTACTTAGGCCACTTTAGGTCTTGCCCCAGCTGCAGCTTGGCAGGCTACGATGTGTATCCATTGGCTGCATTGTTTCTCTACAGTTATTAATAGCAGGAATACAATTAAACTATCACAATTTACTGCCATTTCACTTAATGTTTTGCAGCTGGACCAGAGCTAAGACTACAAGGATTTCTCTTTGTCTGATCTGACCTATTTGACACTTGTAATACACCCATCACTATGGTACGTCATTGTTGTACAATTAAGAAGCAATGAGCTTATACAGGCATAAGACTAAAATACTTGGGATATTTTTTTCTTTTCTTTTAAAAAAACAAAAAAAAGCTTTCTGTCTTTCCTTCTCCACCTCTTGTACACATGGGCATTCTCATTCCCTTTTTGCTACATGTATTCCCATGATATGCTTTTCTAATGACATACATGCCCACAATCCACATACTCAGCCCTCATAGAGATGGATGGTCCAGTGCATAAGCCACTGGCTTGGGATCTGGGTTTAACTTCCTGCCCTGCCACAGACTGTGTGAGACTAAGGGCAAGTCACTTTGGCTCAGATCTTGAAAACCTTTTAGGTGCCTAAAACAATGGAGCATCTGTCTTGTACATCTTGTTTGTGCCACAGTGCCTATCTGTAAAACTGGGACAGCAATACCCAGTGTCACAAGGAAATTGTGAGATGCTCAGAGACTGTGCTGATGAGGATCACTCAAGTACCTAAAGCAGATATTAAATGCTACTGTATTTACAGAAAACATTGCACCTTGATTTTATTTAATATAACTTCCTCAGTGTGGATGTCTATTTGCTAACCTATGTGATTATTTCAAGGAGCTGTCCCACACTAAAAGAGTACATCCACTGTCAATCTGAAGGTAGTTCCTTGTATTCGGGGTTCTCTGATTATATTTCAAATGGTGAAAGTTGGTCCCCTCCCCAGAGATCAGCTGTTTTACTCCAGGGGAAGATGTGCCTCCAATTGTTTCTCTAAAAGTCTCTATGCAAGTTTTGTACATGGAATACTTGCAGAAATAGGTCCCTTGCCTTGAATGGAAATAGGAAGTAAGCTTTTTGTTCTCTAATACCAAACACAGTCAAAACTGTAAATTAACTATTATCTGTAAAATCTAGTGCTCCATATATTAGCCCCAAACCTGGAAGGGTCATGAATGCCAAGGTAAAACATAAATGGGCCAAAGAACTGTTCTCCCACGTTCATAAAACGTTTAAAACATTGCTAACATTGCTGCCAGGTCACCTGTAACAAGTTCCAATTCCCAGGAGCATGTGGGAGAATTTTCAAAGTCAAAAATCAATGGCTATGAAATTACACATTAGTCTAGGGGAGTGTACTTTGCCTGTTTTCACAGCTAACATTCATCTTGCTATAGTAATAGTGGCACAGACAATTTGCCATGGTAAAGTTGATCTATAAGTGTTTTAATTAAAGTTCTGACAGCAAATTTAAACCTTATTTTACTTTTAGAATGAACAGTATCCATCTCCCTCTTGTTTGAGAAACAAGAATCACGATACAGCCCCTACAAGCAGTGCAAGTATCAGGGACAAGCTGAGAAAATGCTCTTCCAAAGTCCCAACAGCAATAATAAAGCTTTGCTTTAATAATACATGACTTGTATGTAGTTCACAAAATCTTGCAGCCCTCTCTTGCTTCAAACCACATGCACACGCACACACACACACACACACAGGCTGGGTACAAACATGCAAAAAGCCTGAGGTGGATTTGATCTAAGTTACGCCGTTTTCTGTAAGTGGCAGTTTAGATCGCTACTGAACAGAACACACATTCGTCCTTTGGGGGCTGCTAATTTTAGACTGGGTTCCACCATTTTTAAACTAGTCTATGTGCACCAAACTTGTGTTCTGTTAGGGGTAGGGACCTACCTAATTCATACGGGCTGCCCCCCCACTTTCACGGGCAGGACACAGGCCCAGGCAGCCATTCGCAGGCACAGCGCGATGGTCCCCCCCCATGCCTCTGATTGCCCGAGGGCCCCCGGTGGCCCTGCCTATCATGGCTGATTGGCTTTTGGGGCCGTCTGCCATGCAGGCCTACCCCTTGTTGCTAACTGGTGTAGAGGGGAGGGTCCACATGACAGACAGTCCTTGTAGGCAATCAGTTGCGAGGGGTGGGGCTGGCAGCCATCTTGCCAGCAGCCCTTCAAGTGGGCAGCTCTGCCTCCCCCCCTTCACCCCGGTGAGCTGCCACAGTGCTTGATAGGTTTCCCCATCCCCCTGCAGATTTTGTAGGTTCTGTGGATTTTGCAGGCATTGCCCGGATTTTGCAGACCAGATTTCATGGAATCTGCAAAATCTGCAAAATCTTGAATTCAGTAGGTCCCTAGTTATGGGTATAGACTGTTTTTGTGCGCTGAATTTTTGCTGTGGGTATCCTGTTATGAGTAAACCAGTTTCCGATTACTTATACCAGCAACCGTGTAATGTTTGTACATGGCTCCCCGTGCCCGCCAACACAAAAGAACAACAGAGCTAAAAGGAATGGACATGGGAGCACATGCAGTACATGCCTCTTCTGCAACAATCTTAATGGAGTAGAACACAAAATGGTCCTTGGAGCTGTTAGTTATTTGGAGGCACAGTACAAAGAACACAGAAGGCATAAAGGTCATGTATAAATACACCATATGCATGCCATCCTGATGAAGTACCTACTACAGACATTGTATTGCTGAGATGGGGGAACTGGGAATTCTGAAATGAAGTGGCCTGATTATGAGCATACAGAGCAATGTGTAATTCCAGTGCTGCCAGTCCTTGTCCTTTGTTCTAACATCTAGGCTTCATTTTCAGGTTGAACTGTCATGGCTGTGACAATTCAGGGATTGTGTCAATGTAAAGTGTATGAATTCTGGTGGATTTTTATAAAATTGCTACCTCACGGAATGCCTTAGGGCATGGGCAGATGTGCAAGTTTATTGCGAAGAGGAAAAGGCTTTACTGCAGGTCAGCTGTTTCATGGTAATTGGCTATGTGGATGCTCTTACTTCACTATGAGTGAAAATAAATTTGAGGGTTAGGCGTTTACCTCTTTTTCACAAAAGAGTAAGCTACTGTAGGCACCCGTTGGTATACTGCAGGGTAAGAGCAGGACAAATAAAACTATAAATGAGAGTACCTGGGAGAGGGGAAGGCTAAGCAGGGTGTTCTTGAGCAACTTTAGCGCTTACTTAGGTCAGCACTGTTACTGTGGACATAGGGACACAGGGCACCTGGGTGGCTGGGTCCCATTTCCTAGAGCTGGTATGAGGCACAGAGTCAGCCTTTGGCAATGTGCTGGAGAGGCCAGAAGCGGGGCAGTCAGTCAGGACTGTGCCAATTATCCCTAACAACAGTTTGGGACTGTGAGGTATGGTTTGCTAGTCATTATTTGCAGGCGGTTTTTTAAATTCTTTAACTGTGTGTGCCTCCTCAAGGCACCATCTTTGCTTTCAGTTTTGCCTGTTCAGAACCATAAAGTTACCAGCAGTGCCGTAGCAAGTGGGGTGGCGGGGGTGGGAGGAGTGACCGTCCCAGGTGCTAAAGTGAAGGGGTGCCAACAGGCACTGCCCAGCTGGGGTGGGGTGCGGGACAGAGCCGCGACCAGCTCATTTGGGGGGGCACGGGGACAGGGGAAAGGTGGCTCCTGCTGCTGTATGCACTCCTGGGCGAGCATGGGGGGGCACGTGTCCCCCAGATCTATGTGTGGGGTGAGGAGAGGCTGCCACTGCGGGCTTTGCCCCAGGCACCAAACTTCATTGCTATAGCACTGGTTATTAGTCATGTTAACTGTAGATCCCCTCACTGCCCATTGGTGGAGAGGGGCAGGGCCACATGGCAGGCAGTCCTTTTAGCCAATCAACAGAGTGGGGTGGCAGCCATCTTGGGCTCTCCTGTGTGCTGGCAACTCTCCTCCCCCCCCAAAGAGCATCCTACACTTGGGTTTGTACTATTCTTAAGCTCCCCTTCCTCAGATGTAATAGGCAAACTATGGAGAATCAGACTCTACGTCCCTGGCTGAAAAAGTGTTTCTTGCAGCTTATATGCAGGTCCTGACTCAGGAACATACTTCTGCACCTGCACTTAAATGGGTTCTCAAGCACTTTCTCAATCATGACACGAGACACAAGGCAGGAGAGAGTCAAGATTCAAGATCCTGGTCTCGCTATTGTTTGGCAATGGCTAAACCTTGCTGCTTACTTGAAGACTGCCTTAGTCTTAAAATTATTTATGGTACATTAATCTGGAATAAGGAAAGAAACGCTTGTTTACCATTAGTATAACAACTGGTTTGAAACAGTTAAAGGCAATATTATTTTCTATTAATCTTAAAATCAGTCTCAGATGTATCCCTAAAGTACATTAAAACCCCCCCACTGTTAATTAGAGATTTATTCAGTACAATAGCTGGGAGTTTTAACAAGTTCAACCAAGGACTATACAACCTGATAACATAAATCTCATTTTTGTCACATTTGAGAGGTACTAATAAAGAGGGTAATTCAGCATTATAAAAGTGCTTACTTTGTTTAGGGAGGCCTAATAGCGTGTCAGTATTATATAATTCACACTACGGAGGATCAGAGGAGAGAGATAAATTGTTTGGTTGGGGAAATTAACTGAGGATTGATTCTATCTGTTTTAATTTAGCATCAGAGTGCTAAAATACTCCTAGAAGCAGATGGGCTATTGATCCGACAAGAGGATAATCAGTGCATCAAAACAGGAGGAGGAGGAGGAGATATTAGAGCTCTCGGGGATCTTCATGATTGCTGTCTTAGAAAGCTACAGCCTAATTGAGGGCTCCTTAACTTGCAGGAACATCTTACTCTCAGGGTGCTGGGAGGTAGGAACAGAGCAGTGGGGGAGGAGAGGCTGGGAGATGAGAGGAGAGGATGATGTGAGAAAAGCTGAAATGAGGGATTAATTAGGAAATGAAATATTCTATCACGATCTGACAGTGAAAGCACATACTAACTCTGGTGGTAGGAGAGGGGGTGGGGGGAAAGAGAGTCCGAAATTATGACAGATAAACGGAAAATGATAGAGGAAAAAAACCCAGGCGATTTAGCAATAATTCAGGGACAAAGACCAGTCATAAACCAGTCTGTCAGTAGAGAGAGGTAGTTAGCCGTGTTAGTCTGAAGTCAGTCAGAAGGCAGGGTAGATATGTACCTTTGCAGACTAACTTACTAAGATATAGATATATATAGAGAGAGAGGACAAGCTTTCATGAATGCAAGTTCACTTCATCAGTCTGTCAGTAGGCCATTAACTGTGTATGCTACCTGCTGTGTATGAGCTAGGAACTCAGGGTCCAGAAATCTGGAGTGAAAAGGCATGCAAGAAAAGCCAGGGTCTTCTGCTGCAATGGGTCCAGCAGTACTCGGCAACAGCCATGACTATTCATGTCTTTATGAAGTTTCTAAGGGAATGTGAATAATTAACGATCTGCTCTCTAGCTCTGCGCTCTCGCAGCAGGGCTTTTTTTTGGGTTCATGTTAACCACACAAGCAGCAAATTCTGTCTGATGGGAGTCTGCATCACAGCTCATGTCAGGACGTCCTGACTCCTGGCATGATGCAGAGTTTTGTGCAAAGTTCTAAAAACAGGACTAGAGCGTAAATGTTAGAGAGAAATTATGAGTGGGTAGAAAAGGGACCAGACTCTGGCTCAGTCAAATAGGACTCAACAGGCCTCCCTGATGGGAAGCAAAATGTCTTAAAGCAATTTTTACATTCCCTTGATATTGGAAGCAGGTCTGCTTATTCATGCACGTTAGTGCTGCTCTGCCTCATATTAGTTTCCCTCATCTCCAAAGGGCTGTTGTAGCATTTAAGAAAGAGCTAGGCAGATCAGTGCCCCTTTTTCCCTAGTCATGCTCCTCATAGGAGAAAATCCAGGGTGCCTGAGATTTTCCAATATGGAGTGAAAGGTTGGTTTTGTGATTAAAGCACTTTGGAGATCTGGCAATGATTTTTGCATGGACTTGAGCAAGTCACTGAATATGGGTTTGCAACTTCTTTGTGCTATCAGAGAACTATAGAGCAGCATGTGGCAGTGATAGTTACCAGTTAATCCTTTTCTTCAGAGCCCATATCAATAGTGCAAGAGTGCCCACAGTTTTGCATAGTGTGGGATGTATTTTAAGAGTAACATTTTCTTCCAGATACTAACTTCCCCTGCACTTGTTACTATGTGATGTACTTCTTTCAATTATGCCACTAGATCACATACCTTTTCAAACTACAGCAACTGCCAATGCGCAAGACAGCTTTATTAGGAAGGTATCAGGGGTCCTTCATACCTCTCTTGAGTGCAAGAGGCATTGCATCTCTGTTAAATAATATTAATCACACTTTTTATTTTAGTACTTTATCATCTACTTTTCCCCTTAAAATGAAATGAGGAGGAAGGGTCAGTATCCCATGACCATTGAGCACCTTACACTGTGTTTTTTCCAGGCTGCATGAGCCAAGTACAGACTTTCCTGACTGTTGCCATTTAAATTGTACTGGTTGAGAGATATTTAAAGAAGATAGGATGAAAGATACCCGCTTCAATTTTGAGGTTTGCCC